AGCAAAAACGTTATCAAATTTAGTTTTTCGAAATGCCTGAAGTTTTTTATGGATCACGTAGGTGTAAATCTTTACAAAGTGTCACTGTCATACCGACTTTCTAAGTATTGTAAGCGATATAAAAAATTATTGTTGAATTTAAAGTATTATGGCACATTTAACTGTCACACAAAGAATTGACATTTTAATTCTTATCGGATGCTGGGATAAGACTAGAACGCAGCAGGAAGTTTGCGATTTATTTAATGAAAAACATCCAGATCGCCGTATCAGACAATCAACAGTCAGTAAGATAGAATCTAAATTTAGAGAAACTGGCAATGTTGTAGATATTCCAAAACCCGGACGTTCAAGCGTTAGTGAAGATCACAAACAGAACACTTTGATAAGTATGGTAGATAATCCTCATAATACTTCACGATTGGTTGCATTAAATAATGACATTAGTCAGACCACAGTGCTAAGTATCCTGAGGAAGGAAAAATATCATCTCTACAAAATTCAACTTGTGCAAGAACTCAATGAAGACGATCCCGACCGCCGCTTACACTTTTGTGGAATTATGATGGATTTATGTCAAGTAAATAGAGATTTACACCGGCAAATACTCAGACGAGGCCACGTTTTATCTCAATGGTACAGTGAACCGTCAAACTTGCAGGTATTGGAGTCGGGAAAATCCTCATTGGATGGCAGAGACACATACCCAACACCCACAGAAATTAAATGTGTGGGCTGGAATAGTTAGGCCTTTCTTCTTTGAAGGAACCCTTACAGGAGAAAGATATTTAGAGTTTTCACAAAATGACCTTGTTCCAGCGCTTGCAGTAATTTTTCCTAACTATAATGACCCTGATATTCCTGATGACACCATATGGTTTCAGCAAGACGGTGCACTATGCGCGCCCTGTTCGAGATTTTCTGGACAATTGTTTTCCTAGGAGATGGATCGGCAGACGACGACCGATAGAATGGCCCGCGAAATCCCCAGATCTTACACCCCTGGATTATTTCTTATGGGGCTACTTACAGTGTACCATAGACCACATAATTTAAAAGAACACCAACATTGTATTATAGATAAAATAAGAAGTGGATCTTATTTGTGGAAGGGCGAAACGGGCGGTCAATATGATACGCCTTCATTATAGCCATCCTTGTCCATCACATGGATTTCTATGGCTTACTTTATCGCTCTCACGTAAATTGTGATAGACCATCGGCGCTTTCCTACACTGTATAATCTTAATTTGTCGATGAGAATATTATGTGCTACACAATCAAATGCCTTTGTTAAGTCCAAAAACTGAGAGCACACATATTCACCCTTTTCAAAACCCTCATTTATATATTAAATAAATTTTTCTATAGCTAAAGTGGTGGAACAGCTATTACGAAAGCCATATTGACGAGGATTAAATAACGAATTACTTTCAAAATAATTTACAAGTTGACATTTTAAAAGACATTCAAACATTTTTCCAAAATAATCATATCACGGAAATAGGTCTATAGTTTGAAGGGTCGTTTATGCAATTTTTTTTATGAATAGGTACAACTTTTAATATTTTTAACGATTCAGGAAAAATACTAGAAATGATACTACTATTAATTAAATTGGTGATAGGAATTAATCTAAAAGTATGTTTCAGACAAATCCTACATGCATACATCTATTTAATTTCAAAGTTACCCCCCTCGCCACACCAAAAAAGAGGAAGGGAGAGGACTAATTTTAACACTAATGTATTTCCACAGCAGAACGATTAAATTTTGCTTATGAAAATTTTTTTGCAGAATGTTTATTTCTCGAGATATTTGAAAGTTTCAGATTAAAAAAATCACCCTATATAATTAATACAAAAACTAATTATTAACTAACTAATTGTTTTAAACAAATTCAAAAGTTCGAAAACTGTTTAATTAAGCAATAATGACGTTAAAACAACTTTGACATGTCTTGCAATTGATTTCCACGGCACTGTTGCGATGAAGATAGATCTTAAATTAATGAACGTGATTAATTTTCATACTTCATAACATACAAATGACACAAAGCCAGATTACTCGTCTGTCTCAATACAAACCGATAATTGCGCGATTCCCAATCAGTGTATTGCTTCTATGCACTACCAAACCAAACCATACTAAACGACCTGTGATAAATCAGCACCGCTAATTAATATAATATCGCCACAATCAGTGTCAGTCTTCTGTATAGGATAGGAAGTTTACAAAGAGATTCGGCTGCACCCAATCAGTAATCAAACAGAGTGCAGAGGTGAACAACCTAGTTTTCTTGTTAAATAATGTTATAGAGCAGATTTATTTTGCAAGCGAATATAGAAAAACATAGTTATGGTCTTTCCGATCTCAATTGAAGACCAAAGAGCTAGGCAGTATGTACCAGGTTCGGTCGCTACGCAGCAATTCGGCATTGAAATATTTGAAAAACTTGTTCCCATATTTATATACAGGCCTGGTCGAACTAAACATCGAGGTGGTAGAAATGTATACGCGCGCGGGCAAACGCCGCACAAACCGAGCCGCACCGGGCGACCGGCCATAAATTTCAGTTGTTGATAAATTGCCTAGCAGTGCAGTGCAGCAATTGGCATTGCAGTAATATATTTTAATGAAAATGTAAATGTTTTTTGTCATAACCAAAATTTACCAATATAATAAAATTGTTTGAGGACATAAATAATTGAAATATGTTGTTGGCCAAATGAACATATAATAGAAATTTTCTACACTTTA